GGGGGGCCGGCACGGCGAGCCGGGGGGGGCGGCGGCGGCGGCGCCGGGCTCACAGCTGGCCCCCTCGGGCGGGGGGCGAGCCTCCTCCTTGGCCGGCATCGGCGGGGGCGTCGCGGGCATCGGCGGGGGGGCTGTGGAGAGAGGGGACGGCCCTGAGTGCCACAGCCCCCCCGGGTCACCCCCGAGTGCCACAGCCCCCCCCGGGTCACCCCCGAGTGCCACAGCCCCCCCCCGGGCACCCCCGAGTGCCACAGCCCCCCCGGGTCACCCTGTGGCGGGGGCAGGGGGCACACCCCGAGCAGTGCCCTGGGGGCGCGCTGGTGTCCCCCCCACCCAGAGCACCTGGGGGAGGGTCCCTCGAGGCCTGGGGACAGCGGGGTGGGGGCACAGCAGCAGCGCCCCGTCCCCAAACCCCTCTCTGAGGGGGGCACGCGGTTCCACCAGGGCGGGACCCCAGCCCAGACCCACCAGACCCTCCATGGGGTGGGGGGCGCACCCCCCCCCATCCCCCTCCCGGGGCGCTCCATTTGGGGGGGCTCAGCCCCGCCATACGCACCCCTTCCCCAAAAACCACCCTGGGCCCCCCAGCATCACCTGAGACCCCCGGGGCCGGCTCCATGGGCGGCAGCGCGGTCGCCCCCAGCCCCAGCTGCAGCCCGGCCCTCGCCCCCCGCGCTATAAAGGGGAGGGGGCGGGGCGGCGCGGGGGGAGCCGGGAGGGGGCGGGGCAGGTGCTGATCCCCCCCCCGGTCTGGAATGGTTCAGTCCGGCACAACCCCCCCGCCACGTGCTGGGGACCCCCCAAAGGCTCATTGGGGGGGGGTCCTGTCACCCCCCGCACCCCGGGGCTGTTTTGGGGGGGCTGTGCCCGGTAAGGGGGGGGCTGCCGGGACCCCGTTAATTCCCTGCCCGGCCGGGCCCCCCCGCAGCTCGGGGCTGTTTTGGGGTCCCCGCTGTGCACCCGAACCCCCCGCACAGAGCGGACCCTCCCTCCCCCCTTTTGGGGACCCCCAGCCGCGGCTCTGGGGGGCGCGGGGTGACCCCGGGTGTGTCCCCCTCCCGTCCCCGCTGTCGCCAGCCCCGCAGGGCGGTGCGGGTCACCCCGGCCTTTTGTCGCGGCTGTCCCCAGCGGCCCCCGGGGACGGCGGCGCGGGGTGACCCCGGGTGTGTCCCCCTGCCGTCCCCGCTGTCGCCAGCCCCGCAGGGCGGTGCGGGTCACCCCGGCCTTTTGTCCCGGCTGTCCCCAGCCCCCCCCGCCCGTGACAGCGGCCCCCGGGGACGGCGGTGCGGGGTGACCTTGGGCTGTGCCTCAGTTTCCCACCCTGGGTGGGGGGGGGTGGTGCTGGGGAGGGGGCGAGGCTCAGCCCCCCAGGCCCAGCAGCGCCTCCCAGTACGGGGGGCACAACCCGCTGCCGACCCCCGCTGGGGACCCCGAGGTGCCCAAAGCCCCCGTGCCCCCCGGAGCCCCCCGAGGTGCCAGGCCCGGAGCCCGGGCGGCGGCGGCTGCCGAGAGCCGCGGCCGGGCCGCGTCCTCCCGCTCCATCCTCATCGTCATTTCCCCGCTCCATCCTCATCCTCATCCCCCGCTCCATCCTCATCGTCATTTCCCCGCTCCATCCTCATCCCCCCTGCTCTGTCTTCCATCGCTCCCGCTTCATCCTCCAGCTCCATCCTCATCCCCCGGCTCCGTCATTCCCGCTCTGCCCCTCATTCCCCCGCTCCATCCTCATCCTCCCTCTCCATCCTCATCCTCCGTCTCCATCCTCATCCCCCCTGCTCTGTCGCCCATCGCTCCCGCTCCATCCTCGTCCTCCATCACTGCACCCCTGTCCTTCATCCCGCACCTCGATCCACCTTCCCTCCGCTCCCTCCTCATCCTCCCATGCTGCACCCCTCCCTGCCCCGTCCTTCATCCCCGCTCCATCCTCATCCTCAGCCCTCCATGGCTCCCGCTCTTCCTTTCATCTCTGCATCTCCCTCCTCCCTGCCCCGTCCTTCATCCCAGCGGCTCCATCCTCATCCTCCCGCTCCGTCCTCCATCCTTCCGGCTCCGTCCTTCATCCCGCTCCATCCTCATCGCCCCGTTCCCCCTCCCGGCGCCATCCCGCTGCCGTTCTTCCTCGCCCGGCTCCCCGCGCTGTGCCCTCACCTGCCGCCGCTCCCTCGGCCATGCCGCGCTCGCCGCCCCCCCGGCGGCTCCCGGGGCTGCTCGGGGCTCGCCCCGGCCGGGCCCGGTGCTGATCCCCCCCCCGGTCTGGAATGGTTCAGTCCGGCACAACCCCCCCGCCACGTGCTGGGGACCCCCCAAAGGCTCATTGGGGGGGGGTCCTGTCACCCCCCGCACCCCGGGGCTGTTTTGGGGGGGCTGTGCCCGGTAAGGGGGGGGCTGCCGGGACCCCGTTAATTCCCTGCCCGGCCGGGCCCCCCCGCAGCTCGGGGCTGTTTTGGGGTCCCCGCTGTGCACCCGAACCCCCCGCACAGAGCGGACCCTCCCTCCCCCCTTTTGGGGACCCTCAGCCGCGGCTCTGGGGGGCGCGGGGTGACCCCGGGTGTGTCCCCCTGCCGTCCCCGCTGTCGCCAGCCCCGCAGGGCGGTGCGGGTCACCCCGGCCTTTTGTCGCGGCTGTCCCCAGCGGCCCCCGGGGACGGCGGTGCGGGGTGACCTTGGGCTGTGCCTCAGTTTCCCACCCTGGGTGGGGGGGGGTGGTGCTGGGGAGGGGGCGAGGCTCAGCCCCCCAGGCCCAGCAGCGCCTCCCAGTACGGGGGGCACAACCCGCTGCCGACCCCCGCTGGGGACCCCGAGGTGCCCAAAGCCCCCGTGCCCCCCGGAGCCCCCCGAGGTGCCAGGCCCGGAGCCCGGGCGGCGGCGGCTGCCGAGAGCCGCGGCCGGGCCGCGTCCTCCCGCTCCATCCTCATCGTCATTTCCCCGCTCCATCCTCATCCTCATCCCCCGCTCCATCCTCATCGTCATTTCCCCGCTCCATCCTCATCCCCCCTGCTCTGTCTTCCATCGCTCCCGCTTCATCCTCCAGCTCCATCCTCATCCCCCGGCTCCGTCATTCCCGCTCTGCCCCTCATTCCCCCGCTCCATCCTCATCCTCCCTCTCCATCCTCATCCTCCGTCTCCATCCTCATCCCCCCTGCTCTGTCGCCCATCGCTCCCGCTCCATCCTCGTCCTCCATCACTGCACCCCTGTCCTTCATCCCGCACCTCGATCCACCTTCCCTCCGCTCCCTCCTCATCCTCCCATGCTGCACCCCTCCCTGCCCCGTCCTTCATCCCCGCTCCATCCTCATCCTCAGCCCTCCATGGCTCCCGCTCTTCCTTTCATCTCTGCATCTCCCTCCTCCCTGCCCCGTCCTTCATCCCAGCGGCTCCATCCTCATCCTCCCGCTCCGTCCTCCATCCTTCCGGCTCCGTCCTTCATCCCGCTCCATCCCGCTGCCGTTCTTCCTCGCTCCCTCCTCGCCCTCGCCCGGCTCCCCGCGCTGTGCCCTCACCTGCCGGCGCTCCCTCGGCCATGCCGCGCTCGCCGCCCCCCCGGCGGCTCCCGGGGCTGCTCGGGGCTCGCCCCGGCCGGGCCCGCCCC